CATCTTCCTTAATGGAGACATTATCACAGCAATTGGCATCTTTTCATAGACCTTAAGACCTTCTACAAAATATCGGCAATAACATCTCCTCAAGGTTCCAGCCATTCTGTTCATATCCTTAAAATAATCTACTGCTCATTCTACATCATTTGGATGGCGATACTAGCCTCTCGGTTTGAGATACTGCCTTGAGAGCACTTATTTGGAAATCATTAAATCATAGGATATTAGAACTGGAAGGGATGGTAGAGACAATTCATTGCAACCTTGTCATTTTATAGATCATGATAGATCTTGATGCACGAGTGATTTGTTGATACCTGGTTAGGGCTGCTGCTCAGACTTTTTTTTTTTTTTTTTTTTTTAAGATTTTTTTTCTGGAAAGAGAGAGACAGAGAAAGTGATCTTCCTTCCATTGGTTCATTCTCCAAATTGCCCTAATGGCCAGAACAGCTCTAGGCTGAAGCCAGGAGCCTGGAGCTTCATCCTGGTCTCCCACGTGGGTGCTTTCTCAGGCCATTAGCAGAGAGCTGGATCAGCTGGATGTCAAACCGGTGCCCATATGGGATGCCAGATTGACAGGTGGCAACTTTACCTACTGTGCCACAATACCAGCCGCTCACACTCCATTTGAAGTTGTTGTTGAGCAAATTAATTTCTCCTCCTGGCTCCCCTAATTTTGTAAATGGCACCATCATTCTGGTCACCCAACATCAGTCTTTCTTCCATATGAAGTCACCAACCTTCCATTTCTAAATCACAGTCCAAGCCCTGCAAGCCTTCTGTTGAGCTCTGTCTCCCACATAGTCCATCGTCCCCATCCCAGTGTCACCAGCAGCATGCACCTTCCAATGATGGAAGCAGAAGCTCACAGTAAAGGGGAGTGTGGCCAGCCCTCCATACCCAGGTTCTGCATCCACAGACTCAACCAACCATGGATCAAAAGAAGAACGTGTGTGTGTTGAACACATACATACCTTTTCTTGTCATTCCCTAAACAATACAGGATAACAATTACTGATATAGCATTTATTTTGTATTAGTTATTATAAGTAATTTAGAGGTGATTTAAAGCATATGGGAGGTATGCATAGGTTGTTTGCAAATACTATGCCCCTATTTTATACAAGAGATCTGAGCATCCTTGGATTTTGGAATTGGCAGGGGTTCTGAAACTGAGGGATGACTTGGGGCAGTAGAAGTGAAGTAAAGGAGTATGACAAATTGAGGGTATTTAGGGGCCTGAGCTTGTGTTAATACCATATCAACCCCTTTAACATGACTTACAGAACCAGGAGTCCCTGATAGCAAGGTAGTGTACTTGCTTGCCATTGCTGCTGTTCTTTCTTAGTGGATCATTAGAACGACTGATTCAGCAAATTCTTTGTGAGGTTGTTTTATCTTGGGGGCAAGGGAACCAAGGACTATTGTACTGTCCAAGCATCCTTAACTCAGTTGTACTTTATCTAGAGACAAGAAGAATGATAGTACTTTCTATCCTAAGGAATTAGTTGCAGACTTTGGTGTTTGATAGGAAATCCACTTCCAGGAAGTGCTGTCCTCCAGTTGGGAGCACTTCTTTAAATCCCATCACATGTGTAGCCCATGTGCAGGAGGGATACTTACTCCTGGTAAGAGCAATCCCGAAAGAGGGGCCACCTGTGAAGATGGAGTTTACATGACAAGACCTCAAAAACCCTGGTTATTTAGTCTTAGTGCAGAAGCTGCTAATTTTAACCAAATATAACCTTTATTGTACGTATCATTTATAGGGCCATGGCTTGTTTACTTGTCCTGTCTACCTGGGTTCAAATTCTGGCCCTGACAATTACCAGCTGTGTGACTTTGGCTAAGCCAAGTTCAATTTCCATGTCTACAATTTATTACATGATCAACTGAGTTTTGAGAAGAGAGCAATTTGGCCAAGAGTTGCTTTTCTATTCATCAGATTGAACTGAAGATAGTGTCTGCCCATAAAGAGTTGAAACCAGATAAATATTTTGAATATTTTATGACAACCCTTGAGACATGTTAGAATCTATTTTCCCAAATTTGGACCTGTCTTTGGGTTGCCTCTATGTCTCATCCAAGGTGACTTGATGTGTTGAATTTATCTCCAAAAGTTGTATCAAGTGGGTCTTAAGATTCTTTCTGTCGTCTTGCTTAGCCAGCAGTGGCCTACCTCTACCACTCGAATCATTTGGAGCCCATATCTTTTCTTGCATACATTGGTATTCATTGACTCAGGACATTTGCAGTTGTCTCGGTTTCTCATTTAATTATTTTGGGCTCACTTTACTTTTCAGTTGGCCATAGCTCCTGTTGGTGAAGGATGGCGTCTTAGTTCTCTGTCCTTTGCAGTGCCCTTCACAGCATTGTGAATGAAAATGATGAACTATTTGCTGATTAATAGGTCTAAATTATGTTTGTCCCACATTTTTGACAATGTCATTTCTGCAAGCTATTGAAATACTCTTCCCTAGAGACCTTTAAAAATAGTGTAGGGTATTGTGGTGCAGTGGGTTAAGCCACTGCCTGTGACACCAACATCCCATATGGGTACTGGTTCAAGTCCCAGCCACTCCACTTTAGATCCAGCTCCCTGCTAATGTTCCCGGGAAAGCATCAGAAGATGGGTCAAGTACTTGGCACTCTGGCACTCACATGGGAGACCAGGATGAAGCTCCTGGCTTCGTCCTGGCCCAGCCCTGGCCTTGGGGCCATTTGAGCAGTGAACTAGCTGGGGAAGCCTTCTTAATAGTGACATCATTCTACTCTCAGGGCAGAGCCCTCATGACCCAGGCACCTCCCAGAAGGCCCCAGCTCCCAACACTGTGGCCTTGTAGCTTAAGTTTCCATAATGTAAGTGTGTTGGGGGACATGTTCAGACCATTGTACTTACCTCAGAATTCTCTAGGTCTGAAGTCCAACAGGAGTCCTACCAGGCTAAGATCAGTCTCCATGTGAAAGTGTCCCACTTATTTGAGCCTTCATATATTCTAAATGGAGCTCCAGTTTTTCAACCCAAGTTGGCTACCCTTTTCGTCTTCCCCATCTCAGTAAATGCTAATTCTATTTCGGCCGTTGCTTAGATCAGAAACCTCGGAGTTGTCCTTACCTCCTCTTTGTTACAAGGCCCATTCCATGCGTCCGGTTGCCTCTGCCTTCAAAAGTACATGCAGAATCTGTTCGTTTTTCAGCATCTCACTAGATTGCATCTGGATTCCTGCCATAGCAGTTTTAACAGGTTTTGTGTCTCCCACTGTTTTGCAACTTTTTATCCTCAGCACAGCAGCCAGGATGATCCTGTAAAAATGTAAGCCAGCTCTGTCGCTCCTCTGCTCACCACAGTCAGTCATTCCATCTCATTCAGAGTAAAAGTCAAAGGCACTGTGAGAGCCTGCAAGGGTGGCACCATCCTTCTGGTTCCCCTGTGTTTGCCACCGGCACTGCTTCATCACCAGACTTTGAAGTTGCCCGTCTGCCCTCGGCCATGTGTCGTCCTGGGAGGCAGGTTGCTAGTCCAGTGGGCTCCTGGTCACCCCACCTCCAGGTCCACCCCTGCTCTCTCCCCTCCCCCCGTGATAGTCACCACTCCATAGTCTGAGTGGAGGGTTGCCTCACCTGACTAAGAAAGTTGGTAGAATCAGATTTCTTACGCCCCCTACTCCAGTAGGGACTTGAATCATCTTCTGCTGCTTTCCCAGGCCATGGCAGAGAGCTGGATTGGAAGTGAAGCAGATGGGACTCGAACCGGCGCCCATATGAGATGCCAGTACTGCAGGTGGCGGCTTTACCCACTACGCCACAGCACAGGCCCCCTACTCATTAACTTCTAAAAATGTGTCAGGCCCACACATTGTGCAGATACGGAAGGGACAACACTTGTATTGTTAACCAGTTCCCTGGCTCCCAGCCTGCCAGAGCCTCCCCTTGAAAGAGACGCTCAGAGGTATAAATTATCCCGCAATCAGAGCCTAGCCAGGCCGGAGCCCCCGTAGCTTGGCCCAGGGCCATTTCCTCATTCTGCTGGTCTCCTACCCAGTCAGGCCATCTCGGCAGTGTCAGCTGCTGCCATATTGCTCACCAGGTGTGGGGCTTTGAGGAGGGGCAGATGTTCTCAAAGGGAGTGCTGGAAGCGGGACAGGTAGATAGTTCCTACTTGATGTCATTCTTAGCAGGCTCCCAGCGTCTTTCTGTTCAGTTGGTCACATTCCTGGTGGTTGTGTGCAGGCGACAAGCATCTTCGAGTGCAGTCATTTCTTGTTGCTGAATCTAGGAGCTGGTAATGAGGTGAAGAAAGCAGAAAAATCTTTCCTTAAAGGATGGTGGTGGTGGTGGTGGGGGGGTCAGGGTACTGTTCACCCCACACTTCCTCTTGATTTGTGCTTGAGTCTTAGAAGGTTTTGTGCCTGATTTTTTTTTTTTTTTTTTTTGCATGGAACTGACATATTTTTAGAAGTTAATGAGTAGGGGGCCGGTGCTGTGGCATAGTGGGTAATCCCACTGCCTGCAGTGCCGGAATACCATATAGGCTCCAGTTCGAGTTTCCTCTGCTCCACTTCCCATCCAGTTCTCTGCCGTGGCCTGGGAAAGCAGTAGAAGATGACCCAAGTGTTTGAGCCCCTGCACCTACGTGGGAGTCCCGGAAGAAGCTCCTGGCTTAGGATTGGCACAGCTCTAGCCACTGTGACCATCTGGAGAGTGAACCAGTGGATGGAATATCCCCTCTTCCCCCCTTCCCTGTGCCTCTGCCTCTGCTTCTCTCTAACTCTGCCTTTCAAATAAATAAATAAATCTTTTTTAAAAAGTTAATGAACGTATGAGATGGCAAATTAGTCACACACCAATAAGGCCTAGAATGCACACCTACTGTTATTCCTGGAATTCAGTATTGGAGTAACCAAGGAACTGAGAAGGGGCTAGCACCAGCCAAGGGCCTCTATAGGGCATCTGAGGTGGCGTGGGATTGATGTGTTTGTTCTGCTTTTGTCTGATAGGTCATTGCTTGTGAGCAGCAGTATGATTCCTCCTATGACGCGCGCTGTGACGTCTGGTCCTTGGGGATCACAGCCATTGAACTGGGTGACGGAGACCCTCCCCTCTTCGACATGCATCCTGTGAAAACACTGTTTAAGATTCCAAGGTAGGACACAAGATGGCGCTCTTGGCTCACTAGTTCTGTGTGGAGCTGTCTAGTTAGAGGGATAATAAACAGTTGTAAGCAATTTCTCTTCAAATGTGAGAAAGCCTGAATGTAAAATGTATTTCTTTTTGGAAAAACACAAGAGGAAGGGGCTGGGGGAGAGGATTTCCTGAAAGATAACATAGACCAAGACATACTAGAACCATTTTGTAATAATTGATATTTTCAGAACTCTGATTTTTCTGGGATGTGTATTCTGGGCGGGGGGGGGGGGGAGCTTTGCACAAGAAGATTACAACTGCAATTTTGGGTTAAGTAATACATCTAAATACTGGCTTTTTCGTTGTAATTATGTTCTTTTTCTAGAATTTGGGAAAATTAGGGAGTGAAGAAAATGTGTATCATATTACCGTATTCATTCAGACTATGCTGAAATCTATCAGAAAAATACTACATCAGTCATAAATCTTCTCCTCCATCCCTTAATTTCTATCTCAATAGGAAATTGTGCTGAAAGAGGGTGTTTAGAATGTAGTTAATTGCAAGCATATTTTCTATTGTATGTATTCATTATGGATCCTAGGAGAGGTTTGGTTGTCTCTCAATGGAATCGGGCTCTGTACGGCCAGTTTTAAAGCTCTTATTTCAGAAAACGAAGCTATGGGGGCTCCGGCCTGGCTAGGCTCTGATTGCGGGATAATTTATACCTCTGAGCGTCTCTTTCAAGGGGAGGCTCTGGCAGGCTGGGAGCCAGGGAACTGGTTAACAATACAAGTGTTGCCCCTTCCTTATCTGCACAATCACACAGCCACCACAGCCTTTAAACATTTCTGCTGATTGCAATTTGCATTTCTGATTAGGTCTATTTATATGCAGATGAGGCTCTCTGCGTTCATCATCATAATGTTATCGTTTTTTCTACCTAATCCAGATGTGAACAGCCACCACCCACTATTCCAAAATAAAACGACTCCCACTCGAGCCTGGGTTAGTCTTTTTGCCTGCTCCACACACCAGAACAGATCATGGTGATTAGAGGAGCAGATGAAGCTCCTGGCCTTTTCAATTAATTGTCTGGTGAGTATGCCAAAGGACGGAAGATTGCAGGCGCCAAGTTGTGTACAGTATTATGCCAGGAACTGAGAGATGGTGTCTGGATTGATTTGTGCACTTTGATTTTTTTTTTTAAACACATGGTTTATTTCCTCACCAGTTATTTACTGTGGCAACATAACTTCCCAAATACTAGGCTTAAGGTGTAGCTCCTCATTTGTAAGATGGATGCAGATTTGGTAGGAGATACATATATATTTTTCTTTTTTTTATTATGTGGCTGTGCACAGAGCAACCAGTCCAAAATTTTGCAAGGTAGTAAATGTGAGACAGCCAGGAAGCAGTGTGTGTGTGTGTGTGTGTGTGTGTGTGTTTAAATAGACCTTTCATCTTCAATGACTGTACTGAGCCTGCGTGTGTGCTCAGCCAAGCGTCTGATCTCTGATCATCTCCCTACTCCCACTCCACTTGCCTCTTCCGGGCACAAATAACTTAGCCTTCATTGCCTGCCTCGGGACAGAGTGAATCCCACAACCAGGGCAGTTGGGAGAAAATGATCCTTATCCTATCTTTCATAGCTTTATTTCTCCCCTCCAAGTGTGACCTGTTCCTTGCCTGGCTCTGCTTCCTATGCAAGTGTTGGGTCAGGTGGTGGGTACTAGGGATGTCAGCCGGAGCCACTGGGCAGATTCCCGGAGAGATCGTGTGTGCTCCCCACTTCCCATTGTCACAGCCTTAGCAGGCAGGCTCCACATTCCTGGACACAAAGGGTAGAGGTTTCACAAGCACATTCACATATACTGTATAGCACTTTTCTTCCTAAAGCCAGGGAAAGCATGTTGGTTTTAGTTTGACCAAGTAATTTATTTAAAAATTACTCCATCAGTTAGAATTGCAGAGTTCTCTTAGAGGGGCTGTGGATTGACCGTGTGTGCATGTGTATACTATAATTATGCTAAAAATGTATCCTCTCAGAAGAGCTCTTAGATGAGGAATGGAGAAATTCAGCATTTACATATATTTAAAAGGCACCCCAGGTATTTGCCTGTGTGTTTCATGGGGTTTACTTTCTCTCTTTTTCTCCACCCTGCCTTCCTAAGGAGAAAAGTGAATGGAAAATAGTGATTTAAAAAAGAAATTCAAACCTTTTGAAGCTGTTTGGCTTTAGAATTTTTTTTTTTTCCTTTCTATTTACACTGAGTATTTTAGGTGTTCTAGAATTCTCTTCCATTAAACAAGGAAGTCCGGTTCAGGGTGCTCCGGGATCCCAGCTACTGCGTATGCTTCCTCCTCGGGCCTTCCTCACTTGACTCTTCCCTGCTGCTCTTTTGTACGAGGGGTGTGTGTGTGTGTGTGTGTGTGCTTTATGGAAATCCTAAGGGAAGGACAGGCAGCCTCGACTGAGCCCCTGAAGAAGCGACTTTCAGGACTTGCAGAGGACTTAGGAGTTAATGCAGAGCTGGTCACCTAGGAGGCGAGGGCCTCAGATGTCACAAAGCTGGAGTCACCCAGTTCCCTGGGCACTGTCAGAGAACGGCAAGCGAGACCTGCCCGGATGTGGTTGATTGGCCGGTACACAGATCTCCCGGCTCTTCCCGTTTCTGCCTTCTTTCTCTTGACCTTCACGTTGGAAGACAGGTCACTCAAAGAAATCGTGACCTGTCTTCTAAACACTGTGTGACTCAAAACCTTTCCTACGTTGCAAACACAGAGAAATTATCTGCTGATTGGCAGAGCGTCCGCTGTTTGCTGAACCTGTCAGCCTGTGTCATCTTGTCTAATGCCTTTGCTCCAGAAAAGTCACCCCTCTCTGAGTGTCGCTGCTCTGTCTCTGCTGTCTTCCTCCAGGAGTTAGAGGAAGAGAACAGAGACCATTTCTCTGAACATCAGTGGATTTGACGCCCTCGCTACTCTTTCCTGAGGACTCCTTTAAAATACCAAAGACTTAGAAGGATCTTACGTGCATTTTTTTTTCCCTTACAAGGGGATCTGTTTCACAAATGCAGTAATTGCAAGAACCAATAGTTAGGAGAAATAAATAATTATGTCAGTTTCTTGGCAAGGGGGTGTTTTCCCCTGGCTTAGAGTCTTCGCTTAGTGACCCCTTTGACCTCTCTCAAGAAGTCAGAGAGAACCAGTGTGGGTGTGTTTACCGGACAAACACTGAGAGCTGTGTGGCCTGCCCATGTATCTGGGGCCAGGTTGCAGCCAACCTGTCTGGTGTCTCATCATGCAGTGAATACTTCCGCTTGATTCCTTGTGAGAGTGCTGGGAATTTTCAAGATTGCCAGCAGAAGTGTCCTTGGCTGGAAATGGATGGGACAGACTGGCCTGAGCGTTCCAGTCCCTAAAAGCGGATGATTAGCTCTTCCTAAAGAGAGCTTTCCCTGCGGTACACAATTGAAGAAAAGAACTCGTGATCATCACAGATTGAGTTTGTGGCTTGTTGCCCTCACTAAATCTAGGTTATTCCAAAGTCGTCAGTAGCCACCCGTATTAATTTTCTAGGGCTGACACCACAAATTACCATGAACTTGGTGACTTAAAACAACTGAAATTCATTTTCTCACAGTTCTTGAGGACAGAAGTTCAAAATCAATGGATTAACAGGACCATGCTCCCCTCAGGTTCTCTAGGGAAGCCGCCTTCCTCACCTCTGCCCTCTCCTGGTAGGCTCTGGTGTCCTTGGTTTGTGGCAATGTGGCTCCATTGTCTGGCTCCACTTTCACTGGGCTTTCTTCCCTCTGCTTCCAGTCTTTTCTGCCTCAGACATTGGATTTAGGGCCCATCCAAATCCAGGATGAGTTCAACTCCAGATCCTTGCCTTAATTACATTGGCAAAGGCCCTTATTCCAAATGAGGTCACATTCTCAGATTCTGAGTATACGTATCTTCTATTTTTTTTTTAAGATTTATTTATTTTATTTGAAAGGCAGAGATACAGAGAGGAAGAGGCAAAGAGAGAGAGAGGTCTTCCATCTACTGGTTCACTCCCAAATGGCAACAATGGCCGTAGCTGAGCCGATCTGAAGGCAGGAGCCAGGAACTTCTTCTGGGTGTCCCACGTGCAGGCAGGGGCCCAAGGACTTGGGCCATCTTCCACTGCTATCCCAGGCCATAGCAGAGAACTGGATCAGAAGTAGAGTAGCTGGGACTTGAACCAGTGCCCATATGGGATGCCAGCACTGCAGGTGGTAGCTTTACTGCTATGCTGCAGTGCTGGCTCCTGAGTATACATATCTTTTGGGACTCACAATTCAATTCATGATACCAACCTACTTTCATGTTTAAGAGATCCTACAAGAAACTAATCTGAGGACAAAACACAGAACTAACTAAATCATGATGGAAAAAATAATACGAGCTTAGATTTCTCTCTTCCTTTAAAATAAGTAAATGTAAAATAGAGTTGAGATCTATCAACTGCCATTGTGTTTTTTGCAGCCATTAATACATTTAATCCCCACAGTGACTCTGAGAAATGGGTACTCTGTCAGCACACTTGTTTCCAGATGAGAAAGCTGGAAGTCCAAGGAGGTTATGCAGCTTGCCCTAAGCATGCATCTAGGGAAAAATAATTGATTTAAATTTGAGATGCCTGACTCCAAAACCATGCATTGTGCTGCTGCATTGAAAAGTCAAAGTCCTTTCTTAAATTATTGGTTGGTGAATTATGTGCTGAGCACCAACGGGATGGGACTATATCAACACGAACAGGATGGCGTCCTGGCCTTTGAGAAGCTTACAACCCAGCATTCTTCCCCCCTGCTCCTAATTTTAAACTGACATTGTCAACCTGACAGAATTTTATTAGTGTTAATGACTGTGTCAGTCAAAGAACTGAAGAACAGAAACCAAAAATGTCATCATATGTGAACATAGGATGTCTTTGGCTCATTGATTGATGACTCCAAACCCAGAAATCCCTCCTTTCTCCAACCTCCCTTTCAAGCAATTGCTTTTTGATTCATAATTTGGAACACTGAAGACAAATGTTTGAACAAGAGAATGGCAGAGTAGAAAGGTCCTCGATGTTAGCAATATTGGTGCCCCATGTTTTGGATCCATCACACCCTCCTTGAAAACCTGCATCCGCAGGGTCAGGGCTATTTCTGGTACAGCCAATATCTCCGCTTTTGTCTTCTTATTTTGTCAGAGGAAAAGCTCCTTCTTGGCTCTGGGGGAAATGGAAAACAGTTTCTGGCACCTTGAATTGGAATGCATTTCTCATGGAAATGCTATTTTAAATGGTTGTTTAGGAAGAGGCGATAATAGCTGAGGTTCTCTACTCTGGATGCATTATTAGATTTTTCTGTGGTAAATAAAGTGTTATAGGCTAGTCTGAGGACTTCAACTCCCTCTAGAACTTTTAGACTTGTGGAAAAGCAAGAGTTTTCCAAATTCTAAACTGCCAATTTCCAAAAGTGCTTTGGAACACAACCCACTAGGAGTTTGGGAATGCTCAAGTCTTCTACTCTAGGATATGTTCAACTTTGTCCCTCCTAACTTGGGTTTGGGTTGGGGGCTTGAATTGTAAAGGTGGAATAAGACAGGGGTTTTGTTCTCAAGAAGCCCTAGTTTTATTGCCTCTATTTACTGGTAAACTGGGAGAAATGGGCAGAATTTGGAGGGCAAAAAAGAGAAGAGATCTGACTCTGGGAATCCAGGGTCTGGAACCTCTTGGATTGCCTGGATGTGGCATGTGGAGGGGCTTGGCATCACCTCTTGAAACATTTCAAGTCTGTTTGAGCGTCTCCTCCAGGACTCCATGCCTGCAATTGACTCTTATCCTAAAGCAGAATGCTTGGACTGCACTTTCATCTCATGTAGGCGTCTCAAAATGAAAGATGCCTTTTGATGCTGACTCTCTTCATTCACAAATCAAACCATCCCTACATGGGAAGCCACAGTCGCTGCCTGCTCCTCAGCCGTGACAGGATGCAGAGGCAGCAGGCAGCCCTGAGTCACCAGTAATTGCCTTACTATTACAGAATTGTCACAGGACATTTTCCCTTCAGGCTGCGAAATATAAGGAAAAGAAATTAAAACGCAACTATTATTGAAGTGCAGTGAGTGCAGGGTGGTGGGTGTTTAATGGCACAGTAACGCTGGATTTGCCCCGGGGAGCTTTGGCTTCTCTTCAGCAGCCTGGGTCACTCAGCTATTGGCTTCTTAAGCAATGAACCCTCGCAGTCCCTGCTTCACTCATAAAGCAAGAGGTGCCAGGAGAATTAGCGTCATTTAGCACTTATCAAGAGCCTAATAGCAAAAAGTTTTGAAGTACTGCGGTAGGAAAACAATGATCTTTTATGAGCCCTTTTCTTTCTTTGGGAGATTTCTGATTCCTGTTCTAATGGCTTGAGGCCGACAGCCCTCAGCAGGCTTTGAGGGTGCCCCCATCTCTCCCCCGACCCAGGACTTGACCCTCCACTTCTTTGGGAACCCAGTGGCTGCAGGCAGCTTGGCAGAAATGCCCCAGAAGGCTTCCTCTCTGTGGAACATATTTCCAAATTCTTTTTTAATTTGGGACAAGCAGCTGGGGCTGTTAGTTCCTGTGGAGGTGCGCCTGGTATGCAGGGAGAGTTGAGCTTTGCAGGTTGCATTTGGGGATCAGGTGGCAAAACAGGAGCGTGCCTTCGGGGACTGCGTGTGCCCACCTGTGCTGGGTAAGTAGTCCATCCTGTGAGAAAGAAAAGACTAGAGAAGCAAGGCGTTAACTTACAGCACTGTCTGTTTTTTCTCCCTCATTACCCTGCTTTCATTATTTTGGTACCACTCATTTTGGCTAATTCCAACTTCACTCCTAAATGATGGTGAGATGAGCAAAGAGGATAGGCAAGCAAACAGAGCTCAAAATAGTACCCAAGAGTTGAGGCACCCCAGTTTCTGCAGACTCCAGAGGAAACTAGGCAGAAAATGGCTTGGCATAGTGCTTAGGCAAGGGGAAGACAGAGAAGGAGACAGAGGAGGTGGTGGTCTGGAGGAAGGTATGTCACAGCGGGAACTGTCCCCACTAGGAGAATCCTAGAGCAGGTGCAGCCAGCCTCATTCGAAGGAAAATACAGTGTGGTGGTCAGGTATCGGTGTCTCTATCAGTTATCTGCTGGGATGGACCAAACCATCCCCATCCTTGGTTGCTTAAAGCAATAATCACTTACTGTTTCTCATGAGTCTGTGGATTCTTTGGGTGGTTCTACTGAGCTGGCTGGGGCTGCCTGTTTATCTGCAGTCAGCTATGGCTGACTGGCTTACGATAGCCTTGGTTAGGGTAGCTTAAATCATTCTGTGTGATTTTTCTCATCCTTCATCTGGTGGCCAGGCTTGTTCTCATGTTGGGGACAGGATTCTGAGCAGAGATGCAGGAAGGGATTAAAAATCAGACCCCCCCCCCACCCCGCCCTTTTTAAAATATTTTTAGCCAGCCTGCAAGGGTTCAAGTAGCAGGTCCATCACCATCAAGCTGTGTGAACTTGAGCAAGTTACTCAGTTCTCTATGTCTCAGTGTTCTCTGCTGTAAAATGGGGATGTGGATAGTCTCAGCCTCCCAAGCTGTTGTGAGGAGTTAATGAATGTGCATTGTGCAGAATAGGACCTAGTAAGCATTCACTGTATGCTGGGTGCTACCAAAGAAAACACCTCAAGGTTGTATTTATACCTTAAGGAATTTCCTTTCCCTTGGAGCTCAAGAATCGAAAGCTTCCATTACAAAAAGAGCCACCCATGAGGGCCATCATTGAATGTTCAGCTAATTGATCGATGACTGTGTGGGGAATTGAAGGAACATGAAGACTGATTTCTCAATAAATCCGTACTATTTATACTAAAAAGCTCTGCCTGTAGTATCCTGACACTTCTTTGGTAATAGACACACTGAAGAGGTTTGGATGGCTCACCCTGGTGCGCACACATGTATATAGTGATAGGAACTACCCTTCAGGAAGCAGGGCTGGCCCTAGTCCCCACTCTTATTTTTCTACAATGAGTAGGGATGTTGTCATCCCCTGGCAAAGCTTTCTTATCAGTTTCATTTTCTGTGCTGGGAAACCTGGGATAATTTTCCTATTTTAAAATCAGTTTTAAATGCTCTTTTGCATCTCCAGTTTAACTGCAACCCTAATGCGGCCTTGCCACAGGTACTGGGGCTTAGGATGTGGATATCTTTTTTTTTTTCAACAAAACCTTTTATTTAAGGAGTACAAATTTCATCAGTACAACTTTAGGAATGTAGTGATTCTTCCCACCATACCTGCCCTCCCATCTCCATTTCCACCCATCTCCTCCTCCCTCTCTCATTCCCAGTCCCAGTCTCCATTAAGATTCAATTTCAATGAACGTTATACACAGAAGACTAACTCAATACTAAGTAAAAATTAGAACAATTTGTGCATGCACACACACAAAACCTTGAGAACAAGTTTTATAATTAATTCTCGTAATATAATTCATTGAGGACAAAGGTCCTGCATGAGAAGTAAGTGCACAGTGACTCCTGTTGTTAATTTAACAATTAACACTATTATGTATGACATCAGTGATCACGCAAGGGTCTTCACATGAGCTGCCAAGGCCAAGTTACAAACATCCTCCTGTCTCTCTTATTCCCACTCTTATTTTTTTTCTGAGATCTATTTTCTAATGACTTTATACACAAATGATTAACTCTATGTTAAGTAAAAAGTTCAGGGGCCGGCACTGTGCCCTGGCCTGAAGTGCTGGCATCCCATAAGGGCGCTGGTCCGAGACCTGACTGCTCCACTTCCGATCCAGCTCTCTGCTGTGGCCTGGAAAAGCAGTAGAGGATGGCCCAAATCCTTGGGCCCCTGCACCCGTGTAGGAGACCTGAAAAAAAGCTCCTGGCTCGGGCTGGCGCCGCGGCTCACTAGGCTAATCCTCCGCCTAGCGGCGCCGGCACACCGGGTTCTAGTCCCGGTCAGGGCGCCGGATTCTGTCCCGGTTGCCCCTCTTCCAGGCCAGCTCTCTGCTGTGGCCCGGGAGTGCAGTGGAGGATGGCCCAGGTGCTTGGGCCCTGCACCCCATGGGAGACCAGGAAAAGCACCTGGCTCTTGGCTCCTGCCATTGGATCAGCGCGGTGCGCCGGCCGCAGCGCACCGGCCGCGGCGGCCATTGGAGGGTGACCAACAGCAAAGGAAGACCTTTCTCTCTGTCTCTCTCTCTCACTGTCCACTCTGCCTGTCAAAAAAAAAAAAAAAAGCTCCTGGCTCCTGGCTTCAGATCAACACAGCTCTGGCCGTTGTGGCCAATTGGGGAGTGAACCATCAGATGGAAGACCTCTCTCTCTCTTTTGCCTCTCCTCTCTCTGTGTAACTCTGACTTGCAAATAAATAAATAAAATCTTTAAAAAAAAAAGCAGTAAAAAAAGTTCAACAAATAATATGAAGAGAAAAGAAAAAAAAACAAAAACTGTTATTTGACAGTCAAGACAAGGGCTGTTCAAGTCATTGCTTCTCAAAGTACCTATTTCACTTCTACAGATTTCCTTTTAGGTGCTCTATTAGTTATCACAAATCAGGGAGAGCATATGGTATTTGTCCCTTTGGCTTATTTCACTAAGTATACTATTTTCCAGATTCATCCATTTTGTTGCAAATGACTATATTTCATTTTTTTTACCACTGTGTAGTATTCCATAGAGTACATATCCATAATTTCTTCATACAGTCTTCAGTTGATGGGCATTTAGGTTGATTTCATGTCTTAGCTATTGTGAATTGAATTGTAATAAACACGGGGGTGCAGATAACTCTTTCATATGCTGATTTCATTTCTCCTGGGTAAATTCCCAGGTGTGGGATGGCTGGGTCATATGGTAGGTCTACATTCAGATTTCTGAGGTATCTCCAAACTGTCTTCCATAGTGGTTTTAGCAATTTACATTCCCACCAACAGTGGATTAGTGTACCTTTCTCCCCACATCTTCGCCAGCATTTGTTGTTTGTTGATTTCTGCATGGAAGCCATTGTAACTGGGGTGAGGTGAAACCTCATTGTGGTTTTGATTTGCATTTCTCTGACAGCTACTGATCCTAAACATTTTTTCATGTGTCTGTAGGCCATTTGGATTTCCTCTTTTGAAAATTTTGTGTTTAGATCCTTTACCCATTTCTTCACTGGGTTATTTGTTTTGTTGTTGTAGAGTTTCCTGATCTCTTTATATATTCTGATTATTAATCCTTTATCATTTGCATCGTTTGCAAATAATTTCTCTTGTTCTGTCTGTTGCCTCTTCACTTTCCTGAGTATTACTTTTGTAGTATAGAAGCTTCTCCAATTTGATTTAATCCCATTTGTGAATTTTGCCTTTGATTGCCTGTGCCTCTGGGGTCTTTTCCAAGAAGTCTTTGCCTGTGCCAATGTCTTGTAGGGCTTCCCCAATGTTCTCTAATAATTTGATGGTATCAGGTCATAGATTTAGGTCTTTCATCCATTTTGAATAGATTTTTGTGTAAGATATAAGGTAGGGGTCCTGCTTCATCCTTCTGCACATGGAAATCCAGTTTTCCCAGCACCATTTGTTGAAGAGACTGTCCTTGCTCCAGGGATTGGTTTTTAGCTCCTTGGTCAAATATAAGTTGGTTGTAGATGCTTGGATTGATTTCTGACATTTCTATTCTGTTAAATTAGTTTATCCATCTGTTTTTGTACCAGTACCAGGCTGTTTGATTATAACTGCCTTGTAGTATGTCTTTTTTTTTTTTTTTTTTTTTGCCTCATCATTTATTTTGGGGAAGACTGTCAGAGAACTACTCAGAGTCAGATTTAGGGCTTACAGATTATTGAGAAATAGGAAGGTGCCAGGAAAGTACTGGGTCTCATCAGAGCCGACTTAAGTAATTTGGTTGATCCTGGAACTGTCTCAGCAAAACCATCACACTTGCAGCCAAACCAGAATCTTGCTGGTTTCTTAAGGATGGGTTCAATGAAGCAACATCAAACCAGATGCAATCCTTGATATTTTTTGAGGCAGACAGTTCCAACAACACAAGTTTCAACTTAATCTGTTGGCTCTAACATTTTAAAACAATTCCAAAACAACTTACATAATACTTAACCTAATACAGTGTTCTAGTGCCTCCAAAGTAAGGTTTTGTAGTCTAAATAGCTTACCAAAAATTCTAATTTGGAAATAAATGTCTTTGATACACAACCAAAAATCTTAAACTATCTGAATACATTACCATTTTAACAAGTCACCTTTTAGTCCTTAGATGCAGTTTTCACAGTTTTAACTCAGTATTTCAAAAATGCATTTAACATATTGTACACACATTGACATTGCCGCATATTTTTATGTGGTATAATAATCATATTCGAAGTTACTTTTGGATATTTACAGAGACTTAAAGTGAACAGACCCAACCCATCCCTTCCCCTACCCTCAATTAAAAACAAAAACAGAAATAAAGACAAGAAGAAATAAGGTTGTAGAAGGGCAACTGTAATCATTAAAGTGTGGGAATACACAAGTCAGCTTTTTACCCATTCTCCATGCTAGGAATAAACTGAAAATAAACTATAAGCCACTCATTTTCTAAACCCTTTTAGGAAGCTCCAGTGGATTTCTGGATTTGCTCCTTTAAAATCAGAATACTCTGCCTTTGCTCAGGAGGTAGCATGGCAATCTGATCTGCAGTTAGCTGAAGAACCTGCGTAATCAAAGCTGCCTTTTCTTGGTCCTGTGGAGTTACCTGGCTCTGCCCAGGACTAAAACTGCTAGGCTGGCTTGCACCTTGCTTACCTGCCCCCTGCATACCTGCTCCTTGGATGCCCACTCCTTGCATGCCTGCCCCCTGCATTCCTCCTCCTTGCATGCCCGCTCCCTGCACGCCCGCCCCCTGCATGCCACCTCCAGGATTCCCCACACTGGAAATGCTTGGGACCTGTCTGGGTCCCTGAGGGCCAGCTGCCCCTATGTTAATGGGCCCAGGGCCTGGCATTCCACCGGTCATATGGCCTCGCGAACTGGGGACGGGGCCCCTCATCTCCAGTCCTCTTGTATCCATGCCTCTGGCTTCCATTGCACAAGTCTCCATGCCTCTTCTTTCCATCACTCGTGACTCTAAGACATCAGTTTCCATGGCTCGAGTCTCCATCACTCGAGAATCTCTACTAACTCTACCATCCATAGGTAAACCCCTTTGATCCAACATGGGTCCTCTGGGTTCTCCAATTAGCATTCTGGGGTCTCCTAACGGCCCTCCCCTCATCTCATGTGAGGAAGGGCCGCGGCCGTCATGACCAGAGGGATGGTGCATGGGGGGACCCTGATGGGGTGGGCCCAGGTAACCTCGAGACTCCACTTCTCCAGTGACTGAAAGCAGCGTCCCTCCACGTGGGTCATTTGGAGCATCTCCCAGCAGTCCGCGGGGAGGCAGGCCGCCGGCAGTCATGGGTCCATGCGGCATAGGAGCTCTAGGATCTGACATCTGCACTTGTCCCCGCTCTAAAGGCACTAGGCCAACCCCTGGCATTCCGACTTGGGGTTGCATTGCTCCTCCGGGAGCTAAGGCGCCAGGGCCAGGGCCGGGGACTGCCGCTGGTATGGGTCCGGGAGCTGGAATTCCACCTTGGATGGGAGTCTGCATCAGAGGAGGAATGTCTTTGATTGGTCTTCTAGCCAAATGCTGAGGCTGAGGGGCTGGAGGATTCTGCTGATTCAGCAGAACATTCGGTGCTGGGCAGGGCCGGGGCCCGGCACGGGGTCCGGCACAGGGCCAGCGACGGGCTGAGATTTGCCTGGGATCAGCGGTGTGACGTGTATTTTCCGATGCAGAATTTTCAGAGCAATCTCTGGATCCATGATTCTCATCACCACTTGCGCCTGCAGCAGCGCGTAAGCCAGCTGCGGGTTTTGAAGTAGCATGTTGCGCGCTTCCTGGTGACTGTTTTGCACAGAGCTTCATCTGCTTCATCAGCTCAAACATCTGCTCCGGGGGGAGACTGGCGACCGCTCTGGTAATCGATTCAGGGGCATCTTCTGGATCGATGGGGTCCCCATAGGGTGAGTCAATGATGGGTGCCGCAGGCCCCAGGCTCTTTAACTCCTCCTTATTCTTCTCACTGGCAGCATTGTCCACCCGAAGTGCTCGCCCACTGAACTCCCGCTCATTGAGGTTCCGCATGGCACTAAGCGCGGTCTCCTGGTCTTGGTACTCACAGAAGCCATAACCCTTAGGTTTTCCCATCTCTCTATCGTACACCAGCCGGAAACTGACCACCGAACCGACCTCGGAGAAAATGTCCTTTAACTGCTCCTCAGTCGCCTCATACGGAATGTTCCCCACGAACATGGAACGCAGTGATCGATCCATGGCCAGGTCTCTCACCGCTAAACTCGACATGATTCCGGCCGTACTCAAGGCAGACGGCGGATTCTTGCAGGAGTCGTCCTTTGGCCCCTTGTAGTATGTCTTTGTAATCTGGTTTTGTAATGCCTCTGGCTTTATTTTTGTTGTATAAGATTGCTTTAGCTAGTCGAGGTCTCCTGTGATTCCATAACAATTTCAGCATCATTTTTTCTAGATCTAAGAAGAATGTTTTTGGTATTTTGATTGGTATTGCATTGACTCTGTAAATTGCTTTTGGAAGAATGGACATTTTGATGATATTGATTCTTCCAATCCATGAACATGGAGATTTTTCCATTTTTGGGTATCTTCTTCTATTTCTTTCTTTAAAGTTTTGTAATTCTCATTTTAAAGATCTTTGACAACCTTGGTTAAATTTTTACAAAGTATTTGAATTTTTGTAGCTATTGTGAATGGCATTGATTTTAGAAATTCTTCCTCAGCTGTGGCATTGTATGTGTATACAAAAGCTGTTGATTTTTGTGTATTGATTTTATATCCTATTACTTTACCAAACTCTTCTGAGTTCTAATAGTCTCTTGGTGGAGTATTTTGGATCTCCTATTTATAGAATCATGTCATCTGCAAATAGGGATAGTTTGACTTCTTCCTTCCCAATTTGTATCTCTTTGATTTATTTTTCTTGCTTTAATGGCTGTGCCTAAAACTTCCAGGACTATATTTGAATAGCGGTGGTGAGAATGGGCATCCTTGTCTGATACAGGATCTCAGTGGGAATGCTTCCAACTTTTCCCCATTTTATATGATGCCAGCCATGGATTTGTCATAAGTTGCCTAGATTGTGTTGAGAAATATTCCTTCTATACCCTGTTTGCTTAGAGTTTTCATCCTTCATCAAATATTTTCTCTTCATCTATTGAGATAATCATATGGTTTTTGTTCAACAGATTTTTTTTAAAGATTTATTTATTTATTTGCAAGTCAGAGTTACACAGAGAGAGGAGAGGCAGAGAGAGGGAGAGAGAGAGAGAGAGAGAGAGGTCTTCCATATGACGGTTCACTCCCCAATTGGCCGCAACAGCTGGAGCTGCGCCGATCTGAAGCCAGGAGCTTTTTCCAGGTCTCCCACATGGGTGCAGGGGCCCAAGGACCTGGATCATCTTCTACTGCTTTCCCAGGCCATAGCAGAGAGCTGGATCAGAAGAGGAGCAGCTGGGTCTCAAACCGGTGCCCATATGGAATGCTGGCACTTTAGGCCAGGGTGTTAACTTGCTACACCACAGTGCCGGTCCCAGCAGTTTGTTAATATGATGTATCACGTTGATTGAGCCATCCCTGCATACCAGGGATAAATCCCACTTGGTCCAGTTGAATGATCTTTCTGATATGTTGTTGGATTCGATTGGCTAGAATGTTGCTGAGGGTTTTTCTGTCTATGTTCATCAGGGAAATTGGTCTGTAGTTCTCTGTCTCTCTCTCTCTCTCTTGCATCTTTTTCAGGTTTAGGAACTAAGATACTGCTGGCTTCATAGAAAGAATTTGGGAGCTTTCTCTCCCCTTCAATTGTTTTGAATAGCTTGAGAAGAATTGGAGTTAGTTCTTTAAATGTCTGATAGAATTCAGCAGTGAAGCCATCTGGTCCTAGCCTTTTATTTGTTGGGGGGGGGGGGTCTTTATTACTGATTCAGTTTCCATCTTGGTAGTAGGTTTGTCTTCATGACTCAATTTAAGTAGGTAATATGTGTCCAGGAATATATCCATTTCTTCTAGGTTTCCCAGTTTGTTGGCATATAGCTCTTTGTAGTAATTTCTGATGACTCTTTTTATTTCTGTGGTATCTGTTGTTATATTTCATTTTTCATCTGTAATTGTATTGACTTGGTTTTCTCTCTTTTTTTGGTTAGTTGGGCCAATGGTGTGTCAATTTATTTTTTCAAAAACAAACAAACAAAAACCCCAGCTCTTCATTTTGCTTATATTTTGTATTTTTTTGTTTCAATTATGTTGATTTCTTCTATGATTTTAATTATTTCTCTTCTACTAGTTTTGGGTTTGGTTTGCCGTTGTTTTTCTGGACCCTTGAGATGCATTGATAGCTCATTTATTTGGTGCCTTTCCAATTTCTTGATGTAGGCACCAATTGCTCTAAACTTTCCTCTTAACACTGCTTTTGCTGTATCCCATAAATTTTGATATGCTGTATTGTCATCTTTGTTTATAGAAACTTTGATTTCTTCTATGACCCACTATTCATTCTGGAGCATGTTGTTCCATCTCCATGTGTTTGTATATGTCCTAATGATTCCTGAGTTGCTGATTTCCAGCTTCATTGCATTGTGATCTGAGAAGATGCATGGTATGATTTTGATTTTTTTGAATTTGCTGAGATTTGCTGGCCTAGCATGTGGTCAATCCTAGAGAAAGTTCCACGCACTGGTGAGAAGAATGTATTTTCTACAACTGTATGATGAAATTTTCTTCAATATCGTCATCTTTACAACCTAGTACTGAAGTGTTGTGTTCTTTTGGGGGCATCATGTTGTCTTCGTTATTCTTGTTTCTTGAATTGGTGTGTTTGTTATTTGGCATTTGTGGAGATACTTACGGGTTCTTCGTTTTTTTCTCGGTAGTGGCTTTTATCTTTGTACTATATTTCTATAGATTAGTGGAGTGTCTGCTTTCAGTGAATATCTAGAGGCATGTGGTGGGTGTGGCCAGGGAGCTTTGTTTAGTTCTCCAGGTTTAGCATGGTAAATCCCTTTTATTTTTAATCAGTGGGGAGGTTTGTTCTCATCTGTTGGCATATACTCAACTGAGCTTCCCTCCTCAAACGAGATCAGTACCTGGCCGCCAGCCCCAGTTGGTATATTATTCATCCACTTTGCCACAAGGGCCATATAAAGAATCTGTGCAGTCCTCGGTGTAAGCTCAGATTCCCCAGCTGTGTCCCTCACCAGAGAGGGCTCAGCATGTGTAGCCTCCCACAGTGACTGCCCAAAGTTCCAGCATACCCTGAGTCCTCCCATGCAGCCTCAGTGTTTTCACAGTCCAGGCATACAAGCCTCCCACAGTGAAGAGTACCCAGCCCCCCTGTCTGTTCTCCCCACCAGACTTCAAGAGTCTCTGCTTGGCTGGTTGCTGGACACAGACATGGGCTGGTGCAGCTGTTACATATGTCCAAAATGGCACCTGCTCTCTATCAGTTTGTTACAGAGCACCATTGCAGGGTGGTTGGAGAGAGAGAAATGTGTCTCCCCACCCCACTTTTTGGCAGATGGACCCACAAGGGAGCTCTGCTGCCCAGGGGCTAAGGAGGTCCCATCTGTGGGCTCTGTCTTAGAGCCTTAGAAAGCACAGTGCCTCCTTACATGGTTCTATGGCAAATGACATTGAGTTTCAACTAAAGAGACCATTGCAAAAACGACAAATAGCCTTAAAAGATTTCTACCTAGAAACCTCAGACTGAATCTAGTCCCACAGTTGCAAGCATGAGTGATGACAGAAATCATGGCTGAGCTGATCACATGTCTGTTCCCAGGACAAATTCTCCATCAGCCATGTGAGGTTAAGAACAATGACAGACCGATAGGATCTGCCAAGAGATCATTTATGAAACTCACATTGGACATGAAGACTATTTGAAATACAATTTATTACCACCATTGTTAATGGTGGTTCTTCCCGGGTGTATTCTCTGCGTGAGGGTTTAGCATGACGCCATCAACATGAATCAGCATTCAGGACAGAAAGATCAAGTGCTGCAATTTCACTGCAAAATACTTTGTAATACTGTTAAAATGCATTGATTTCATTTTATTCATTTTTAAAATTCATTAACACTTGTACATAATTGATGAGGGAGGAACTAGTTATTGGAATATGCACTTGAACACTTCTTATTGATAAAGTATGTAATAAAAAAATCTGGAGTCCAACTGTTCTAAACTAGTAACAGCACCATATGTGGCTCTTTTACAGTTGTTTGTCCTTTCGAGCGTATGTTCATTGTCCTATATACAATTTCTCTGAATTGTCACTGCAGTTCTGATAGGGTATTTTTCATGTTAGAGCTGAGGATTCAGGGCTCAGAGGTATGGCTTTCTTGAAGATATGTGATTAATAAAAGACAGTGGCAGAAGGCAGGCTTCAAGGGTCTGTAAAGTCCCCAAGATTGAGCTCCCAGTGCACCATTTTTAGGAAATGTTTTTCAAAAAAGATCCGTGGAAGATTCAGCCCCCAGTGCCTCCAGATGTGACCTTCTTTGGAAACAGGATCTTTACAGAAGTAGTAGGGTGAGTCCTAATTCCATATGATTGGTGTCCTCGTGAGTAAGGATTAATTTGGACGTGAGACAGACACAGAGGGAAGACAAAGACTCCATAAGCCAAGGAACACGTGGGTGACAGAAGCTGAACGAGGTAAGGAAGGATCCTTTCCCAGTGGGTTTTAGAAAGCCGATGGCCCTGTCAACACCTTGGGTTTGGACTTTAAGCTCCAGAACTATGGGGCAACACCTTTCTATTATTGTAAGCCATCTAGTTGTGGTGCTTTGTCATGGAAGTCCTTGGGAGCTTAATGCAACAGCCCATGGTTCTGAAAGGGTCGCAGGTTCCAAACACATTTAAACCTTCTGCTAGAACCCAGCACAGTCATATGGAGGAAGAAGCCTGGAGGCTGGTTGTGAGTTTTCCTGCATGCTATGGCTAGTTAGAGAGACTCAGAGCTAGGTCTCACACATTCTGACTCTAAGCTCAAGGTAAGGTGAAGTAAATGCGGGGGACCTGACTTGTCTCCCTCTCCATTAGGTTTGTGGCTGTTCCTCCTTGGTGATCCACCTTAATGTGGCTCAGTTCATCTTCTGTCAATGACTTCAAAGAAACAAGTAGAACGCATGTTGCGTCTTTGCTTTGATGATAATGGAGATTGTAGCCTCCTTCTGGTTCTGCATTTTATTCCCTTCCTCCCAAAATTCACACTTTGACCCTTCAGTGTCTATTAAAAAGGAAAAAAAAAAGATTACTCAGCTGTAACTAAGTATGTGTCTCAACAGGGATATAGTTCATTGGTTTGGTATGGATATATTCTCCAACTCAAAAGGAGTTTAAAAATAACGTACCTGATACAAAATTGCAAGTAAGGCAGCAATGACCCCAGGGGAAAGAAGTTTGCCAAATGAGTTTGGCAAAGTGTAAGAGGTTTCTGATGAAAACTGCTTCAGTTCTCGAGGAGCATGTGTGTGAATGGTGACCTACTTACAAATGGACTGCAAGTTGATGCTGAGAACTAATTTCTTAAATCATTTAATATTTGTTGAGCATTGACTGTGAGAAAGCACTCTATTTGGCACAGATTAACCAAAACAGAGTCTCTGTGCCCATGGAGCTAACTACTAGAGGAAGAGCAATAATAGACAAACCAACAAACAATAATATCTGCCTGATGCTTGGTGCCTGTCTGAAGGAAAATAAACTAGGATAGGGAGAATAGAGAGTGACAGTTGGGGTGGGGCTTGCTATTATATGAAGTGTTAAGAGAAGGCTTCTGTGGTAAGATAAAGTCCCAAGGATATAAGGAAACAAGCTGTGTCTAGGGTAAATCTAAGTGCAAAGGCCTGGGAATGTGATGGCGTATGTTAGGAATAGCAAGGAGAATGAGAGTAGAAGATGCCACTGATAGAACTGGGGACAGATTATGTACAGCCTTGTTGGTCAATGTAATGATTTTGTATTTTTCTATGAATGAGAGGAACAGCCATTAGGGCTTGTAGTAGTGAAGTAACATTAAGTGACTTGTATTCAAAGCAATCTTCTGGATATTACATGAAGAACAGAATGTAAGGGAAGGGAACGTGGTGAGAGGGGAGGTATTTACACAAAGTGAGAGGCTCCTGTAATAATCCAGGTAACAGAGAATGACAGCTGGGAACAGAGTGGAAGGGGTGGGAAATAGATGAGTTATGGCTATAGTTGAAGGCAGAGTTGATAGGATTGCTTATGGATTCAATGTAAGGAATGAGAGGACACAATGAAAATATCAAGGCTTTTGGCTTGAGTAACTAGAAAACAGGGGTTGCCATTTTTCAAGCTGTGATGATTGTGGGAGAAGCTGACTCGCTGGGCAGATGTGTTAGGAATTGAGAATTCTATTTCAGTCATTAAGTTTGAGATGGAGATTTGTCACTGAGTAGAGGTGTCGTGTAGCAAGTTGACACAGGAGTCTGGAGTTCAGAGGGGACATCTAGATTAGATAGCTAAATGTGGGAGCCATCAGCATTGAGATGGTATTTAGCATCTTGGGACAAGAGACTTCATTTGAGCAATGGGAAGGAAAGCAAAAGGCAGCAAGCTGTGTCTAGGGTAAATACCCTAGATTCCTGGTAGATAAGGAAGAGGAGATCTGGAGGCTCCTCGCGGGTGCAGAGGTGAGAAAGAGGAAGGGAAACCAGGAATGCAGTTGGAGGAGTAGACACTGAGGTAAGAGGAAAAATAAAAGAGGGTGATATTCCAGAAGCAATGAAGAAAAGGTAGGGAGGGGAAGGAGGTGGAAAGACTGATCAATTGTATCAAATCCTCCTGAGTGAAGTAAGGTGAAGGCTGGGTTTGACCACTGGATCTGAGAATATGGAGAGAACTGGTGATGTCCCAAAGTGTTTTGATGAGCTATGGGGGATAAAAACCTTATCAGTGTGGGGTCTGGGATGTTGGCAATATTCTATTTCTTGATCTGGAGGGTGATTATACTAGTGTTATATTATACATGTTTTATATTTCAAAATAAAAAGAGAGGGGGAACGAAACCAGGAACTTGAGATATGAGAATAGACAATCAATTTGAGATACTTTCTCTAAAAGGGGACAGAAAAATGAGGATGGTGGCTGGAAGGGAAGATGCACAATACATTTTGTAAGTTTCAGTGGCCATCTGGACATGTGGGGATTGTAAGTGGGTGAGCTCCCCGTATACAAGCATAATACTGTGGGTGGTACATGTTAGCAGCACCCATGTGGTGTGGTCTTTCACTATGAGGTACACGTGGTATAAAAACATGTCTGAGGGAACCACGGTGTCCTGGCACTGTGCTGTGTTTGGCATTGTTTCACCTCTCATAGGATGTTTTGGTACTCTGAGGAGCTAATCTGCATCTTTGGGGCTGAGCATATAAGTGTCTAAGAATGATATAAATTAGGTTTCGTCAGAGTTCAAAGTCAGATACATATGTGTTTAGGATGATTGGAATTATTTATTTATTTATTTTATTTGACAGAGTTATAGACAGTGAGAGGGAGAGAGAGAGAGAAAGGTCTTCCTTCCGTTGGTTCACTCCCCAAATGGCCGCTACAGCCGGCCCTGCGCCGATCCAAAGCCAGGAGCCAGGTGCTTCTTCCTGGTCTCCCATGTGGGTGCTGGGGGCCAAGCACTTGGGCCATGCTCCACTGCACTCCCGGGCCACAGCAGAGAGCTGTACTGGAAGAGAAACAACCGGGACTAGAACCAAGCGCCCATATGGGATGCCAGCGCTGCAGATGGAAGATTAACCAAGTGAGCCATGGCGCCGGCCCCTAGGATGATTGGAATTAGAATCTGGAATAACCTCAATGGAATGTTTGCATATAAATACGGGTGAGGTATGAAGGACACTTCAAGGCCAAGGAGATGAGTGATCGGACAGGCAGGACGTCTCCCCCAGGAGTTCAGTGCGTTTGAAACTCTCTCATGTAACCGAGGGTCCACATCAGGCAGAACCGAGTGGAGGTGTAAAGCAAGGCTGTGGGAAGGAAAGGGAGGTATGAACATTTCTGATCAAGAAGATCGAGGAATTCCCAGGGCCATACCTCATTTGGGTTGAGCCCCCAAAGGGTAGAGTTTCAGTGAGAACAGTGAGGGTAGCAACGCTGACCTTTCAGGACTGGAGTAAGAGCCTGAGCCAAGGAGAGGCTGTGCAAAATGGGGTCCAGGCCTGGAGTTGCTGGGTAAGTGGGGCTGGAAGGTGACCTCAGAAAACAGAGTCCCGAGGGACTTGGTGGCCACGAACTCCAGGGACTTGGAAGCCCTTAGCTGCTTTTGAGAACAACATCGAGAATTCCACCTGTGTTTTCGAAAGATCCTTCAAGAGCCAGAATAAGGACGTACTGGAGAAAATGAGAGGTGAGGGGCAAGGGGAAGGTGAGGCGGCTGTAACGGGATTGCTACAAGCCAGTTAGCACCAAGCAGAGGATGTGACTAGTGAGGTGTGGTGCAGCAGGGTCTGTGGGCCCGGGAGAAATCACATTTGGGTGGATATGCTTCTACTAACTGCATTGCGGCCACTTTCTCCATGTGGGGTCCCAGGCAGAACTCTGGGCCTGCCCTCTACTTGTTCAGCACCTCCCACCTACCTTTGCGTGTTTGGGGCCATTTGTGCCTTTGACTCTCCTCTCTGAATATAGGACCTGTGAAGGCTAGGATTGTATATTCGTGAATCTTCACGTCTGTCGTAGCTCCTAGCACCACATTTTAGGTATCCTATGTACTCAAAATGTTTTACCTTAAAAAAATGGTTTGATATAACTGAGGATTGTTATGTCATTAAATGAGTCTTAAAACATGGGAGGATATGATATGTTGGCTTGATGGAAATTGGTGAGGGGATGGTCAAAATTAGGGAGGCCAGGGAGCACAGATTTTTGGGATCAGATTCACTGCTGTGTAACATACAACGCTAAAGCTTGGGGGTGTAAACAGCAGTTTGTGACTCTTCCTGATTGTGTGGGTCAGGGATTCAGACAGGGTTGGGCTGGGGAGGGGGGTGTTCTGTTCTGGATGGTGTCACTGTAGCGTTCAGCTGGCATTTGGGTGGGGCTGGAAGGGGCAAGAAGTCCTCATGGAGTGCGCCAGTGCCCCTCAGCATGGTCTCGACTCTGCCCAGCCTCAGCACTGCCTGGTGGTCTCAGGGTATTTTGGTTTCCCACTGGCTTTGAAGAGGGAGTGTCTCTGTGTGTGTGAAAGCAGAGCTGTGGACCTGTTACGGCAGAGCCTTGGAAGTCACACATGTCACTTCTTCTTCTTCCACATTCTCCTCGATCAGAACAAATCACAAGGCCAGCCAGGGGTCAAGGGGAGGACAACGCCTCCAATTTCCCAAGAGAGGCATGGTGGAGAATTTGCAGCCATCTTTAATTCATCACAAAAGCATTCCTGGATTTGAATCCTGGGTCTTCCACTTGCTGGTCATGTGATTGTTGCGTTTGTTATGGGAACTCTCCTAACTGACATGGTATTAGTATTAGTGGGAGCTGTGAGAAAAAGAGAGGATATGGCAGTGCACCCTGGCATGTAGCAGGTGCTCAATCAGTCACAACTACTATTCTCATTACTGTCGTATACCCCTAAAGGGTGAATACAATGACAGTTGAAAAGGGAACGCTTCTTGGATTTGACATTTAAGAACCCTTTGAGGACTGTCTAATTTTGGAAGGGAGCAGTAGCAGAGTAAGGAGCAGAAGCCGGGGCAGAAGCTAGCTGTAAGTGCATTTCAGGGCCGTGAGTGCAGATTGGCAGTGAAAGGGGGGTTCCAGCTGTCATGTGGGAGAATCAGGTTAAGCGGAAGGGCAAGTGGAGAGGTGGAAAATGAAGACTCGTGAGAGTAGATAATTAGTGAGGGCAATGCTTAAAGAGAGCTACTGAAGGTTTTACAAAACTCAGATGTTGAACCCTGTCAGGATGTACCAGAAGAACCTTTGGAGGTGGTTTCCTAATGGGCCTTCATCTATTTCTGTAACTTTTCCTGTCTCCTGACAAAGGGTTTTCCTGTCCTTACCAACCCACATTTCCCTCTGGGTGGACACAGATCCCTAAGGATCAGTAGCTCCCTCAACTTTCAAGTCTTAGCCTCAATTTCAGAGCACTGTGAATCCTAAGCCTATAAATCACACCTTTGGAGGTTCCAAGATCCGGAAAATCTCATGCCTTCCAAAAAGCTCCCAAAAGAAAGCATTGTTCTGTGTAACTTGGAAGGCAAATGTGATAAAACCCACACAGTGTGTGACTTGGAGCATCATAACAGCAGGGCTGGGTCCCAGGTCAGCAAATCAGAGTTACTAGGAACACGGTCTGTGAGGGGGCCCCGGGTCCCATGCTAAGGTGTGGGTGAACACAGAAATGGGGCAGTCAAGCTCAGACAAGGCAGGACTTGAGGTATGTGATGGTCATGGGCCGGGACATGGAGGGCAGCATCTGTCATGTCAGAGCGATATCAAAACCAGGGTCTTCAGGATAGGCAGGGACTGTGGAAGACACAGGAAGTTTAGTGTCCTGGCTGCATTGCAGTCCAGGTAGGTGATGGCAGACTTTGTGTTTTCAAGAAGATCTGTGGTCTTTTTAGACTTTACTTTTGCCTCATACTCCTACACATTCTTTTTCTCTTCTATTTGTTAGGTCTACATATCTGCACATCATATCTGTGTATCTCTTGGCTCATTCTGAAAAGTACTTAGGACCATTTATAAACACACAGGCTATGCAAGGAGGTGAAAACACATGAGGGCAGGAATGGAAGACAAAGAGAAGAAAATGTAAGCCCGGGGTGGGGTGGGGGGTTGGTAAACAATGTTTTCACCATATTTTCTTACTCACTTGTGGACCACACACTTGTTTATGAGCTTCCTAGCTGCCGAGGCAAGAAGAAAAATACCACCACTTGTACTATTTGCAGTATTGAGAAGATTAAGCAGGAGCAGAGGGCTCAGGATAGGTAGCAGAATAAGCAATGTCTTCACTATCATCTTTATGAAAAATCTGGCAACAGTTTCAATGTGGATTAATAATCACAGTGATAAAGAAAAATTTGGCTGAAATTGACTTAGCAATGCAGCCCATGTATTGAGCTCCCCAGGGTCTTGGCCTTATACAGGATTAATTTTTGGATTTTGTAGAGTAATGGATTGAGTGCCCACCTTGGCTATGAAACAGAATACATTTAAATTCAATAAAGCATTTCATTTTAATTTTTAAATTATCTTCAATTTATGTCATTTCCTGGCATGCTCCCTAAGTTAATTACATGAATTTGTAGGTAACTAAGATAGCTTTTTGTTGGTTATACAATAATTATATTTTTATAGGATATCTGCCAGAGATTATGGTGGCCCTGGTTGTGGAGTACTCTTAAGTCTCCTTTTATAGCCCATCCGCTTCTTAGGTCACTGCTTTGCATGTAGGAATGAGCTTGTCATCCTTTCTCTGTCATGCCAGGGAGCGGGAGGACCCTGACACGAGTGGGGAGAAGTTCCAGGCTCTACGGAAGTGGCCGAACATCAAGGACTCTCGAGTGAGCTTGTACCTCTTAGGTCCCGACAGATTTTCATCCATGGAATCAAAAGTTGACAGAGAGTCAGTAATAGCAATAAAGTCCTGCGTGACTCCTAACAGGTTGCTTCCGATGGCAATAGAGTAAAACCGTGGATAGTGTCGGCATCTTCTGCTCTTCCTGGGGAATATTAACTGGAAGTGGCCAAACTTGCCATTTTTCCAGAAATGAAACAAATAGTTATTATTTAAAAATATTTAATAAGTATCTAACCAGAATGTACAAATAAGTCAAATGAAGAAAACACAAAACGTTTACCCTCTGGTTAACAGTTTGGGGTACATGCATCTTTCCGGGTATTTTCCCAGGGATGTGTTTATGTATTAGAGTCAGGAAGGCTAGCTGTAAACGCCCCGCTTCTCAGTGACTCACCAGGTCAAAGTTGTTTTGTTGTTCACACGAAGCTCAAACAGCAGCAGAGGTTGGGTGGAGCTGGCTCTGCCTCACACAGTCTCTCACGGACCCAGGCTGATGGAGGCTCTGCTGTGTTTACCAAGGGGACCTGTCATCCTTTAGGGCCTCTTGGTCTTCAGTTGGATGCTCTGCATTGGCCTGGCAGGCAGAAGAAGAATGAAAATGGAGGATTTCACAGAGTGACATCCATTTCTTATGCTCACAGTCCGTTGGCCAACATTTAGTTCTATGGTCACACCTAATTACAAGGCTGGAAAATAAAATCTAGCTCTTTGCAAAAGGAAAGTGAATTAGTTTGGTGAACAACAAGTTGGTTTTTGCTACTCCCACACATATGTTCCTGACCCCCCCCCCCAAAAAAAAGCATTAAACCATCCATACAGTTTTTTTTAAAAGATTTATTTATTTGAAAGAGTTACAGAGAGGCAGAGGCAGAGGCAGAGAGAGAGAGAGAGAGAGAGAGGTCTTCCATCCACTGATTCACTCGTAATTGACTGTAATGGCTGGAGCAGCATTCATCTGAAACCAGGAGCCAGAAGCTTCTTTTGGGTCTCCCACACGGGTGCAGGGGCCCAAGCACTTGGGCCATCTTCCACTGCTTTCCCAGGCCATAGCAGAAAGCTGGATCAGAAGTGGAGCAGCCAAGACTCGAACTGGTGCCCATTTTGGATGCCGGCACTGTAGGCAGCATCTTTACCCACTACGCCACAATGCCGGCCCCATCCAGACAATTTTCTATCTGCTTTTACCATAGAGACAAGATAAATGTCATTAGTCAATCTTCAGCTCTGTGGAGTAGCCATCCCAAAGGCACATACCAACCAGTAAGTATTCTCATTTTTCCCATCATTGGACAGTTTGTCTTCTAGAAACTTTCTTCCTCTTGGTATCTGATAGGAGCAAAGTTATAGATGTATAATAAGCTGCACTACTGTTTGTTTTCAAGGACAAAGATGAAAGAATTTCATGATTGAGTCTAAGACGCAGAATATGAGTTAAACATCTCAGACAATGGGGGAACCTGAATGGTGTGTGAGGCATAAAAGAGAAGTTTGAGGGGGGATTTATAGAGAAAAAGGCAGACTCCATTAAAGCCATCTTGTTGGCTTTGATAAAAACAAGCTGAAGTGGGTGACAAAATAGCAGTTATGACGCCTGGAGTTTATGGTAGCCAAGGAAATGTGAAAATGAGAAAGAGTGAACTGAAAGAAAGAAATGATTCGGCCCAGATAATTCAATTTAAAACCTTATAGGATGGAGTGTTTGAAAGAGAGAATCCTCGTGGAGACTGACCAAAGTGCTAAATCAAATACTGAGGAATATAGGCTTACATGCTTCAAACTTGGTAGGAGAGGTCTTTCAAAGTTCGTGCAGTACTTCTATGTATTAGGAAAAACTATTCATCAGTAGGTGAATATCTATATATATAGAGATATGTGTGTATACACACATGCATTCATCCTATGAAAGATTATGCATCCATTAAAAAAAGAATGTGGTAGCTAAGTGTGTCCTGACATGGAAAGTTTTCAAATACAAGGATTCTTCAACATTAGCAAACCTTGGATTAACTTGTAGTATTTGTTAAAACAGAATGCCGGGCTCCATTCCTGGAGTTTCTGATCCAGGGGCTCTGGTTGGGGGCAGGACAAGAAAAATTTATATTTCTAAGCAAGGCTCAGGTGATAACTAGTTTGGAGTGCTACTAGTTTGGGTGTTACTAGTTTGGGGTCCACATATTGAGAACAACTGTTCCAGATACATAGTGACCAATGAAGAAAAAATCAAATTGCATGTATTATACAATATATTCCCTATTATAAATGTCTACATAGAAAATGGACATAAAGTCATGGAAAAAGTTAGAGGGTGTACATCAAACCCTTACAGTGCCTCCCTCTGAAGAGGAACATGCTTTTATTTTTTCTATATGGCTGTATTGAAATCTTTTACTCCAAGGGTACATGTCTATGTTACTCATGTTAAGAAGAGAAGGAAACAATGAGAGGACAAGCACATTTTCCCCCACCCTCAGAACTAGAAAATTTGCTAGGACTAAAGTTTGGATGAGAAAGATGGATAAGGATAGAGAATGAATGGTTTTCACTTTGAAGTTTGTTCCTCTCTCTAACTCTGGATGCATAGCAGGCTGAGATCTGAGGTATTTGTTAGCCTTTCTCTGATATTGTTCACTCAGATTTGGGATTTTACTTTTGTTGTCCTTGGCTTTAACCTAGTGTTGCTTAAAACATAGTATCTATCAACTTGCCTTGATTAGGTTTTCATCCTTGTTCCATGCTGCTGTGGTTTGAATGGCATTTGGGTCCTGAATTCATGTAGGTACTTAAACTCTAGAGTCCTAAGTTAATGGTATTAAGAGGGTAGAAACTTAGTTGTGTTATGGTGCTTAGGAAGTGGACATACTGGAAATTTCTTGGGTCACTGGGAGTGATTCCTATGACAGGGTTGCTTATAAAAGCCTGAATTGAGCCCAGCCACACCCTCTGCTTCCTGGCTTGCCACATGGTCTTTCTCCACACTTGCTTCACCACTGCCATCCCATACTCTCAGCAGATATCAGACCAATGGGGCCACCTGATCTTGGACAGAACACCCAAAACCAGTGAAACAAGTAGAGCTTTTCTCTTTATAAAGTTAGGTTGCTTAAGTATTTAGATACACTGTTGAAAAGCTGACGCATCTGGCCTTGTATTGAAGCCTTTCATTGAATGACAGTCACTGCTAGGGCTTCCCTTTTGTATGGCTTCCCGTTGTTTTGCAAGTTATTCTAGGACAGGACTTAGGAAGGATGGAGATGGGAGTAGGGGCCCCAGGGAAGGAAATAACTCATCAAGGGAGCTTTACCTCAAAGCTAGCCACTGCTCAGGTGGTTTCATTGTTTTTTTTTTTTTTCTTCAACCTTTGTTTAGTTGAAGTCGTATGGTAAGTGTGAGAGGAGAAAAAGTAAAGTATTTTACCCTATCAGCCATGCAACAAGACGGAGTTGTGTAATGCTTCACTGTTTGTACAGTATATCCACATGTAGTATCTCAATTCTCAGCCCCAGATGTGGAAACTGATGCATGGAGAGTAACAATTTGGAAATTCATATCCAGATTTTATAACCTTAAGTCAGTTACCAAAAGTTCAGAAATGAGAAAAACTTCTTCCTTTTCTAGGAGAATGTTGTTTTAGTCTATGTTAACAGGATGACGAAGCTGTAAAGCCTCTAATTGGAAAGTGGTATAATATTCAAATAAATGTTATCGTGTTTCTCAATAATGCACACATCTCCTTTCAACAAAATGGAATCATATAGGTAGATCATAAATTTCTCAGATAGAGGCCTCTGCTGCCTCTAGATACAGATAAATCACATGGAGAGGACACCGAACCATGAAATGATTCTGTTAACATGTCATCTGTCTAGAATATATTTTTAAATCTCCAACAGAAGGATCTAAATTATGAGGGGAGGTGGTCTAACAAAGTGGATACTTTGATATTTGCTACTTTTAACCTCTTCCATCTGCTGCCACTGCCTAAGTATGGAGTCTAGCCCCATGTACGGAGTACCACATGGCCTAATCCTGGGAGTCCCTGTAATTAACCATTTTAACAAGCAGTGAACCCACACCTTCCTTAAACTGTGTTATCTTGCGAAAAAGTATTCTATCAGCATTAATGGTCTGGTCTTACTAAGAAATTTTTAAATTTTTTTAATTTATTCACTTGAAAACTAGAGAGACAGAGCTAGATCAGTATATCCCAACACAAAAATAGCTCTTTGGGCCGGCACCACGGCTCACTAGGCTAATCCTCCACCTGCGGCACTGGCACCCCGGGTTCTAGTCCCGGTTGGGGCGCCAGTTCTGTCCCAGTTGCTCCTCTTCCAGTCTAGCTCTCTGCTGTGGCCGGGAGTGCAGTGGAGGATGGCCCAAGTGCTTGGGCCCTGCACCCGCATGGGAGACCAGGAGGAAGCACCTGGCTCCTGGCTTTGGATCAGCGCAGCGTGCCGGCTATAGCAGCCATTTGGGGGATGAACCAACAGAAGGAAGACCTTTCTCTCCCTCTCTCTCTCACTCACTGTCTAAACTCTGCCCTGTGTAAGAAAAAAAAAAAGAAGCTCCTTTGTTGCTCTTTGTGTCTAGAAGCCTTTGTGAGAAGTTTAATCACAGAGAAGCTAAGTTTAATGAATTTTTGCTTTATGTCCAGTACTGACTCTGATACAACAATGAGATTTGGAAACTTTTCCCAAATTGGCTTTTGTGTTAAAGTTGCTTTGAGTCTGCTCTCAGGTTGCAGAATAGTAGCTTCAGGTGGCTTGCTGGCACCTAGGTTTCACTATATAACAATGTGAAAATAATTCTTGGTGCCTAGTAACCTTTCATATGCCAGCTGACTGGTGAAGGACTGTTATGTTTCTACAATTTATCTTATGCCCCTAGTACAGATGAATTATCCCTTTGTCTAAATGGGGTCAGGGAGAACCACTTCATTATTTTACTTAGCACAAGGGAATGAGCTATTCCAGTGATTCTCAAAGCCTGGTCCCTGAGCCAGTAATATCAGCATAACTTGGGAACATGTTAGAAATGCAAATTCCATTCCAGACTTCCTGAATCAGAAACTCTGGGAGAGGGACTCAGTAAGCAGTGTTTTAACAAGCCCTGTGGGAGATTCTGAGACTTGCTGAGGCTTGATTACTCCAGGATGGTTCCTTTCCAACCCCTCTACCCCTGCCTGGTATAGGCCATTGTCAACCCCCAACCTGGACATTGAAGCAGTCCCCCAGCTGATCTCCCTACCTTGACCTTCCAGTGCCTTCTCCACATACTCAGGGGCTTTAATGAAATACCAATTTTGTCTTGCCACCAGTGGTACACTGAACACTCTAAAGAGAGCCCCAAAATTCCCCTTAAGTTCACTCACCTACAAGAGAGAGGCCCAGGAAATGGTTGTGATAACCTCAGCAGTGATGGTGCCATGTGGTGGTGGGAGTGGTCACCATTATGAGAAGGACTATTAGGTAAATAGCTCTCCCCCCACGCCACTTTTTTTAAATGAAGGCAGGGTGGTATATATATATATATGTTTCCCTAGGGGTTAATTTTATTTGTCATCTGAGACTTCAGATCAAGAGGACCAGGACTCAAGAGTGAGTCTCTAAGCAGCATCCAAAGAGGCAACTCAACCTGCTTTTGCTGTAGGCCTGGGAGCTACCTTCCCAGAGCCAAGGCAAAGGGGTGTTATGAGCTCTATAAAGTCTGGCCCGTCTCATCCAATGACCATCTGGGTAGTTGGGAATCAATGTCTCAGCTGATTGATAATTAGATGATTTAGCTTAGAGCAACTCTTTTGCATTTTTCTTGTGGGAGCTGGAGGCAAAGTTATTAATTTCCTATGAAGATTCTCAATTTTTAAAAACACATGGTTTTCTGTGATTCTTTTTTTGATTGTAGAACATGATCTTTCTTTTTGCATATTTTGTGTTGTTAAAAATGTTGGCAACGTAGAAGGTATTCTGTCTAATTTTTCATTCTCAGTAGTCATAGGAAAAATGATTGCGTTCAAAGAGAAGTAAGTCCACGTGGTTGAGGGTCAGTTTTTGCTAGGCACTTATTTAGTGTTACTGCTTAACTCTTAACTGTTGGATTTGAGAGCTTTAAACAATATTGATGATACCATGCTAAGCAAGCATTTCCCAGACTCACCCACTGGTTCCTAGGATGTTTAAACAGGCTAATTGAAAACAACAGCAAACAGTTACAGCTTATCAAGGTTGCCAGGGTCAATTGCATTTGGGAAATTTGGTTCAAGAATT